GAACTCTATTACAGAGTCAAATAGATTGTAAAATCGAGTCAGACAGTTACCTCTTGATAACCAACGCACTTCTGTGTGAAATAGCAATCGATTGAAATCTTCATCATCAGCAATACAAATCTGATTAAATAATTTGTCATTTAAAGAACTATTTCGGATTTTATTGACTGCTTTGATGATATGTTGAAGTGATTGAGAGAGGCGCTTACTCGAATTTTTCGCAACCTAATGTTGCTAATGAATGACAATAATACAGCGAGCACATCTGGAAGTACGCTATGAAGCTTTTGTGTCATAGCCTGTCATAGCCGGAGCGTCATCCATAGCAAAAGATATAATATTCTTCATATAATATTTTCCCTATATTTTCTCCTTTTGTATTCATCTCTTAATTTATGGCAAATAATAGTTCTTGATGTATTTTCTCATTTTTAATAAACCTCACGTATGACAACAACAATGCTCCATTGGTTGGTGAATTGGACTTACTTACAGAATTGAGAATTTAGAATTGCACATTCTTCAGATGATTGCACAATGACTCTTCAATATGTTTTCAGCCATCTCATAAATTGCACGGAACTATTGCTCAAATGAATTTTTTGGATAATATCTGCCGCTGGTTTATGGAGAACAGTAGTTATTTCTTCTTTAATGCCGGTAAAATTAAATCCTCCCTAATAGTGTGAGGTTTACCTGTTTGAGCAATTAGCAAGAAGATATTGTAGGAAGCTTGAAGTCCGTCGTCGTCTTGCTTAGAAGTTTTGCCACAGTTGGCTGAGCTGAGTATTTCTTTTCCAGTTCTTGAAAATAAGTCACATTTTTGTCTTTTTTATCTCAATACATTTTATTCAAATGATCTTATAGCTTTGAGGGTTTAATCGCTTCATTCGAAAATATTTTTGACAAAGAAGGCACATAGGCCAAGATGGATTTGTGGGATTTTCAATAAATCCGCGCTGTACTTTTTTGCTTCCGACATAATTCTGTCTTCAAAAATGCCGAAGTAAAGACTCGAGTATTAAAAACTTGCCAATGACACCACTCACAGTATTCACCACCGCACGTATACCACTTTGCCTAGCTAGTCGCTAACTGAACTCACTTGTTTTCATAATACCATCAAATGACATAACTGGCTGGATGGCGCGCGCGTTTTTGTATGAGGCAGCGGGCGAGCCTAATACTTTCGAGAATGGAGACTAGAAACTTCTCGCTTCGCATTGAAGCTTACCGTCATCTATTGTACAGTTTGACAACTATCGAACAGGAAATAGTTACTGTCTAGTCTCCTAGATGGCGTTACACGAGGAAACGCGAGTTAGGCGTAAAGGAGAGGTGAAGTTTGTGTTGAAAGCAAGAAAACATTTTTAAATTAGTCATCGCTTTCCTAAACTGCTTCAACGCCCCCCAATCTTTTCTGTGCCCTCTTCTGCCCCCCTATAGGCCTCCAGCGCCAACAAGGTGGCGTTATCGCTCACTTTGCGAAAGACTACGTTAAAGGCTGAAATTTCTGCCTTTTTAATATAAAATTATCATTTATTTCCCATCAAATTCGAATCATGTCATCACAATTAGGTTTTAGTTACGTTTCTAGACATATGAAATATTAAATTTTCTCCTTTTTTTTTCTAGATATGAGATAAAATGAAACGCATGTTTGGAATATTCGTTCTCATCGTCATATATCATGATGAAATAGGAGGCTCAGCTAGCGTGACACCACCTCAACCTCCTTTGCCAACTACACCAGAACCGGAACCTCATAGGAATTGTGGTTATGAAGTAAGTGGGTATTGAAGAAATGAAAACTAGTATCCAAAATCCCAAGATGATAAAAAATGTATCCCCTGAAAAATCAAAATCTGGAAAAGTTCCTATTGATTTCATAAGCAACTTTTCAAACTGCTATATTATTTAGTCAAAATAGAGCTACAAATTGATACAGATAAATGAACTTCCAAAAATAAAATCGATATTTTCAGTTCAAATTCAAAATATCTAATTTTGTTGTTGAATGGTGTTAGGTACCATGAAGCGGATCAGCCAAAAGTTGTAGATCACGTAAGTGTCTAATAACTGACAAAATGGTTAAGGAATTCGCGGCTGAGGTTTTCAGTGCAACTATTTTTCAGGTTCAAAGGTCCTTGATTTTTTTATTTTTTTCCTGACGTTTCGCTGACGCGAGTGGCTAGCTTCTTCAGAGGTTGCCTCAGGCAATCGTAATATCCAGTCATCCGATATAGGTTAGGCTAGGTTAGGTCCAAAGTGAGTAACCGACCGACCCTCCACCGGAACCCGCAAGGGTTTATTGTGGCTCACATATATTCAAACTCTATCAAATGAACCCAGCTTCTTAACGAAGCCGATTAGTTTGTATGTTGAGTGGTATTTCAGGTCAGATGGTAAGAGTACGGCTCTGCCGAACACTAAAAACCCGATTCGGTCCCCAGCGGGGCAGGCACATCAGGTGCTCTGATGTTTCATCATTTCCCAAACAGAGGCGACACACACTGTCTTCCGACAGTCCGAATTTTTGCATATGATGATTCAAATAACAGTGACCTTTAAGGCCTGTTAGACATCGTAGTTCATCTCTACTGCAGTCCAGCAACTGTTTGGTATCAAGCTTGGAAGGGTGAATACACGCCTTGGAGTGAGCCCATTCTGGAAGATTCTGCCATAAATATTCTTGCCATCCTGGTGTTCAATCTTTGTTTGGCAAAGCGTGAAGCAATCCCAATAACAGGTTCTGGTCCGATGAGGCTTGCAGCATACTCCTTTGCAAGGGAGTCAGCAGTCTCATTGCCTTCCAGGCCAGTATGGCCAGTAATCCAGACCAGAGACAATCTGTTGAATCTTCCTATCGAGGAGAGTCGTTTTTGGCAATCTGCTACCAATTTAGACGTTGCTCGGTAGGAGCCAAGAGCTTCCAACGCCGCTTGACTGTCCGTTGATATTCTTATTGACTTGTGTATGAGTTTGGATTCTTCCAGTCTCTCCGCACACAATGTAATAGCGTAAATTTCCGCTTGAAATACAGTCGCATAGGTGTCAGGCAAGTTGACATCTCTGTCCTGAGTCTGCGACTGAAAACACCTGCAACAGAACCGGAAGGTGTTTTTGATCCATCTGTGAACCAATCGCTATCTGCTCCTAATTTTTCCTTCTCCCGGAGGATCCAGTCCTCTCTACTCGGGAACAGTACTTCATGAGGAAGTTCCTAGTTGACAGTTGAAGGCATAAAATCGGAGGTCATTTCCAGAATGCTGTGACTTCCAGTGTTAACCAACAAACAGTCTCTTGCACTCTGCATTAAATTGATTTGTGCAATTGGCAATGTCTATATGTCTATAGGCAGTTCATCTTTCCTCTTTCTCCAGAAAAATGTGGTGGGGAGGTAAATTTAGAAGGATATCCATGGCCGCTGACGGTGTGGTACTGATGGCACCACTGATGGCCAAACGAGCCTTTACCCAGAGAGCTTCGCCTGAGCAGTTTTTATCGGATATAATTCAGGATGTATAAACTTCTGAAGAAGCTAGCCACTTGCTCCAGCGAAACGTCAGGACAAAATTCCAAAAATCGACAGCATTCGAACTTGAAAAATAGTGGCATTGTCTGATAACTATTCGGATGTTTTTTTTCTGAAATCTGCCGTTCATGAAATATCGAATTTTTCATCATTGACAAATCAGATTATTCCCGCAATCTGGTTAATGACTCACCGAGTCATGTAAGGAACAAAATGGCTATCTGTAGCGCCTCGGTATGTAAAGTGGTAGAAATCAACTTTCAACAAACTAGATAGATTCTTATGAAAAAAATAACCGGTTAACAGTGAACTCCAACTTGAAACCTTTCAAAAGGAAGTCATGCCCGCTAATACTCCCCCAAATATTCTCTGGAAATGATACTTTCTTCACAAGCTCAACACATCTTCACATCACCAATGAGTGTATCTACTTGACGCTTTTTTTTTTCCAGTAGGCATACCCCATGATTTTCAGTTTTCCTCCAACAGTCACATCTTTCTTTTAACTTTTCCCAACTCCTCGCTGGTTTTCTGCATATTATTATCAAGAACTTGTGCCACCATTGATATCATGACAAATAACATTTCATTCAACTTTTAAGCAAGAAGGTCAGTGAACAATAGAGTTGACAAAATAATTCAATACTTTACTTGTCACAACTTTCATTAAACACTTTCATTATTATTATAAAAAAAAGGGGGATTAGCGATTTTGCGAAGCGATAGAAAGCAAGATGAAAATGCTCTGACCTTATCTCCGTGATGTGCAGGTTGTAGCTGCAAACTTCCATTGTTGTTTCCAAGCGGTGTATGCAGTATGTCTGCGTGAGAAGCATTACAGCAAAAGTTTTCATTATAAACGAAAGAAGGTTAACAGAAAATGTTAATTACGAGCGAGCACCAGAACTGGTCTATCTGGCACCCGGCAATTTCATCTTGTCGTGCCTTCGCACATGCAAAATCTAACTTGTACAGTGTAATCGAGTGAAATAATGCACACGCTCAAAATGAAGTGAAGTAATATTCCAAGAATAATCCAACAATCAGGCTGGATAGAATGTACAAATCTTTGGGACCGCACCTTTATCCTAAGACCAACTTCATTTGATATATATATTTCTTGAGGAATTCCGCCACAGCTGGCATGTTTACAACAACTCTATCTCTTTTTACATTAATGGTACTTGATACGCTTTCTTCATCTAGTGGAAGGCATTTTTAGAGATTTAAATTCAAAGGTGTGTACAATGAGTCCCTCAATACATCTCATCCTCAATGCTTATTGATGGACTACTTCTCAAAGTTCATATTTTGAACTATAGACAGTAACATAGTGAACAGAATATTCAATATTTCAATAAGTATGTCTTGACATTTTTACAATTTAGGTTCCGAATCGTTCCTGCAGAGTTTCTGATTATTCCTGACTTCTCATTTGTAGACTTATCGTCAACCTTGTATTCAACTTCCAAGACTGTGGCAACCGTTCTACATTTCTCATGGTTGTAATGGTTTCTAAGTACTATATAAGTCTAGCTGCCACTTCAAAATGGTGAATAAAACTTCATCAGATACTTGCTGGATATTATCAACAGCTCAGTCACCTTCAGATACCTGCCTCGAAGATGAAAGCATAGCGTAGTTGTCATGATTAGGTACAAAACAGAGCCAGAACCCACTGTTTCCCCAGAATGATCGTCCGATTACTCTGCTTTGCTCAACGGCTAAGTTGGCTGAACGTGTTGTACTGCAAAGACTAATAAAAGAAATTGAAGACCGAAATGTTCTGCCTGACGGACGATTAGGCTTCAGTAGGACACACTCCACCGAGCTGCAGGCCCTGAGACTGGTTAATGCAGTCAAGCTGCTGGAAAATAATTCCATAAAAATCAAAAGATCAATAAATAAGTACCATTCTGATCATTCCCATAAAAAAAAGTACTTAATAAAAATAACTACGTGAACACAGTTCTTTTTATTGATCTAGGGTAGAATGAGGTGAATTTTTCGGAATTATCAATGCCATATTTCCACACTGGCATCTGATGGTTGCTTGTAAAAGCTTTTAAGGCAAACCACGTGATTGTTCTGGAACTTTCAGCAGTAGTAGTAGCTCGGGAAAACTAATAATTACAAAATAATTTGAACAAAATATGTCAAACTTTCTCACCCTACTGAAAATCGCACGTTGAATAGTAAGGCCTCGTTAGTTCTTAGCTGATACAAATTTCGACTTCTGAGTGTTTTCGTTCGTTGGAGGCGACAGCCGACAAAGTAAACGGACAAAACGGTTCCAAACAGAAATATAAAAATGAAAAGATCAGATATTGAATATCGTAGAAATCATCTTAATATTACATTATAATACGGTTACATTGAAAGGATTCCAGTTTTCAAATTCCTCAACTTATTCAACTATATCTGTTGTAGATTGTCTTCCAAATTCTACCACTAACGAACGAATTATTTTTCAGTCCTGTCATCCTATCAAAACTGGTGATTTCATAAATGTTCACATAGTACCACACACACACGATGATGTTGGATGGTTGAAAACCGTGGATCAGTATTACTATGGAAGTAAGTTTAATAAATATATATTTTTGACGAATTACATGAACATTACTTATTTTAGGTCGAAATAATATTCAACAGGCTGGGGTTCAGTATATATTAGATTCAGTTATGGATGCTTTGAAGAAAGACAAAAATCGCAGGTATAGTAACCTTACTTCACTGAAAAGCTATGATCTACATTAAGATATATGCTCATACTATTCATGATTAGGTCTGCCAGATAATTTTCATCTTTTTTCCAACCTCCACTAACATACTATTCTTGGTGGACTATTCTATACTGAGAAATATAATTTAAAACAGTTTAATGATGAAACCATTCTCTCTCGAAAATTGTACTTTATAGGTGTAGCATCTCTATCAGATGTAGTTTGGGCAGATATGATGGAGCATTGAAATTGTCATTAGTAGATGAAATTGTGTTTACTTTTTTTCTCTTTAGTACTAGAAATGTATCGATTTATTCCAACTTCTACTCTTCCATGGAAGCTCATGCTAGTTTTTTCACCATCAGATAACGAACGAATTCCAGAAAGACACAGGAAAGTCGTCTTCAGTCACTCCTAGATAAAGGGCAAAATGGCAGTGTTTTTTTCTCGAACCCTTGAATAAACGTTTAACTTGATTTCATGTTGAATATTGAATGGAATGGCCAGAGCTTTATTAGTGATTCACAATTCATAATAGCTCACATAATAGCTCCATTTTAACACCTACAACTCTACGGCCACATTGAGGTTAACCAACATGTGAGTCTTATTCAACATAAACAATGAGTTAGTTAGTTTTATCAAAACATCTCACCTTGGAATTTCGCAGGGCTAGTGAATGGACACGAAAATGCCACCTTGTTGATATTGAGCTGTTTCAGAATTTGCCTGACTAGACGTTGTCCCAGAAAATCGACTGTGGACTATGGCTGTTATTGCAATTGAATCATCGTTTTATGTTAGGGGTGGAAGTGTGGATTTCATAAAGCTTATTAACAGCTCCAGCTACTGACCAAAAGGATCTAGATCCGTAGCGATTTTTAAGTTTATCCCTAATTCTCTGATTGTGAAATTAGTTCCTTTCATTTTTCTTGAGTGTGCGGTTGTTGCAAGCATTGACAAACCTAGTTCGGTTTTTGGCACTGGGATTTTTGCGTCACTGCCATTAGACGAGATTTTTGGTGGTGACAGGTTGCTGGCAATTTTCGTTGAACCAAGGTTAGCCGTTAGAAGTTCGTTCCATTGAAGAGGTATATATGTAATCGTGGATGATAGAATATTTTTCAGAAGCACAAATAGATGGATCTTTAGAACTGAAACAATTATCTAGCCAGGAAAAATTTTGGAAATGGTTCCCACTCAACAGATCTGTAATGTCAAACTTTGCGCAGCTTAGATTGTTCCCCAACATTTATCAACACTGAAATGACTTGGTGATCAGAAGATCCTAATGGGGACCTTACAGTGACTGTGTAAATTTCTGGATTGTTTGTTAAGTATACATTCCGAAGACCAGTATATTCTCCGTCACACTCACGAAGCCTAGTTGGCTCATTTATAATCTGAGTAAGTACGCTGCTTATTGCAAAAGCCTCAGCTTCGCCATCTTGTTCGTGTTTGATATTGGAAAGTTTGAGCCATTCGATATTGTGGACATTGAAGTCACCGAATATGAAAATTTCGGCACTGAGATGATTGATTCGCAGAAAGTCAATAGTGTTTACAAGTGAAGAGTACCCTATATTGTGTATTGCTTGGTGGTCGATAAACGCTGCATATGAATTTCATGATCTTCTGTGACATTATTTTGAACCACATAACATCAAAGTTTTGGGGTTCCAGCATTTCCTCTTGTTGACAGATGAGATCGCTTCTGATAAAAAGAGATATGCAAAAGTTACGTCTGAATCGGGAGTGGAAATCATAGCCGGGATATAGAAAATTGACGAGGTTCGTTGAAGCACTGACTTTGGTTTCTGTGAGTGCAAGAAATGAGGACCATTTGTTTGCAGGTGTTAGTGCACTGAGTACATATTTGAGTTGAGTCCTCTGATGTAAAAATCGGTTTTGAAATTGCTAGTGCGCCTCTTAACAACTGCAATTATCATGCTATTCTGCTGTGGACTTCGCCATGGAGACTAATATTCGTTTTGTTAGGAGCAAGTTGAGTAAACTGAACAAATGGGGAAACTTGATAAGTAAAATCAATTGAAAAGTCTTTCCTCGCATCAGAAAAAAAATAATGTCTCTCGACACGCGTTTTGCTAAAAAAGTTAGCATCATATCAGGAGGTGACTAGTCTTTAGGTATCTTCTGATGTTGTTAATGGATGTTGGAATCCTTAGAAATTGATAAACTTGATAATTGCAGATCTAATCTACTAAATTACCAAATTGAACTTGTTTTCTGGCCGGTTTTCAGATTACCGTACCTAAATTGTCACAGGTAAACAAATTTCAGATAATGAAGTCATCAAGGATCGCCTGTCATCACCTGCTGTCATAAAGATATATAAGGATGTAAATTGTTGAATATTTCAGGTTATTGTATTGTTTTGAAAATGTTAAAAGTGGTAAAGAACACAGAAAGTTTCAGTTCTCATTTTTCATGACGATCTCCCACTACATAGAAACGACTTCATCTATCAGTTCATCATTCATTTCAGGTGATTGATTATATTCGATTTCTGAAATTTTTGATGATTCCTTTATCAGCTTCAATCTTTTTGACGCTGTAGGACAAATTATTAGGAGAATTGTGAATTTTCTTTCCAATTCACAAACATTCCGTTTCACAAAAATGAGATAACGTAGTGTCGAATTCAACAAATTCGTTTTTTGATACATTTTCAGATTTATTTACGTGGAGACTGCATTCTTCTGGAAATGGTGGATCAAACAGCATGATATTGTGAAATCACAAGTACGTTCATATGTAAGAAATGGTCAACTAGAATTCATCGGCGGAGGCTGGAGCATGAACGATGAAGCTGTCACCAATTATCAGTCAATAATTGATCAAATGACTTGGGGTCTCAGGTACAAATTCAAAAATAATGAAGAACAAAAATTGGTGCAAATGTATTTCGATTTCAAAAATAATTTCAAGACAAAATATTCACTAAACTTTCATTGTTTATAATAACGTAGTGAATCTATGCTGTTTCAAGACTATTGTTAGACTTGAAATAGCTCGTTTGAATAGCTATTATTTAGAAAAGAACGGTAGCTCCAAGTGAGAATGGTCAGGACGAATAATATCTTCGAACTTACTATGTGTGAACAATAGAGAAAATGCGAATACTGAGAAAGATAAATAAATCATTGTTTTGGTAGGAATCGTAGGGGTGCGACAGCTGATTAACGGAAATGTTTCAAGATTATTCTAAGACTTAAAATATCTCGTTCAAATTACTATTCGTTAGAGAAGGACAATAACTCCAACTGAGAATGGTCAGGACGAGTAATATCTTGAAACTCACTATACGTAAGCAGTAGAGAAAATACTGAGAAAGATAAATAAATAATTGTTCTGGTAATCAATTATTAATGGAAAATTTGATCCTCCAAGTTTATTTCAGACTGAAAATAGCTCGTTTAAATAACTATTCGTTAGAGAAGAACAATAGTTCTGACTGAGGATGGTCAGGACAAAGTATCTATATGCAGGCAATAGAGAAAATGCCATTGCTGACAAAGATAAATAAATCATGAGTTTTGATAATCAATTATTCAATATTTCGATCACGCACAAGAAACATTCTTTCGAAAATGTTTCTTTTGTGATGCCTTTGTTTGTTTACGCCGCTACTTTATGATATTTATGTTGTGATCATTATCGTAAATAAACTCATCATTATTATTATATTATTATTCTCAGTGTTGAAATAGCTCGTTCAAATAGCTATTCGTTAGAGAAGAATGATACCTCTAACTGAGAATGTGAATACTGAGAATAAATTTTCGTTTTGATATCCGATTATTAATAGAGAATTAAATGTTTCAAGGAAATCGATAAATAAATCCCTTGCTAACTTATATTTGTACCAATGCAAAATTAAAACATTCTAAAATGACAGATTGAAAAATGTTAATTATAGATTTGAAAAGTGACTATTGACACTTCTTCAATTTTCTGCACGGATACTGTACATGCAACCCATACTGAACTATATTTCTGTTTAGAAAACTCAACGATACTTTTGGAGATTGCGGTCAACCGAAAATAGGATGGCAAATTGATCCTTTTGGACACAGTAGGGAAATGGCGTCGATCTTCGCCCAACTTGGATACGACGGTATTCTTCTAGGACGGATAGACTACCAAGATAAAAATTATAGATTGACGACGAAATCTGCTGAAATGGTTTGGAGAGGAAGTCAGAATTTAGGTAAGAGAGGAATGTATTCACAACAATATTTGTGTAAGAAGAAGAAGAAAGAATTGAATTTACCGAAATGAATTACTTTTCCGATGAATGAGAAATTCATTTTCGTTTTCAAAATAATAGAAAAGAAAATTGCAAAATGATTTCGATCTAATTCTCATATCCTATTTTTCTATTTTGGGTTATGTGAAATGAACCATTCTTTTTGAAGAATTGTAGATTCAAGAAAACACTTTCCGTGTATTTTTTTCTAATCAACCTTTTCTCATGAAGAAAACCTTGAAATATCTAAATGAATAGGTGAAGAAGTAAGGTAAGAAGTAAGGTAATTGTAATATTAGCAGCAATAATATTGCTACTAATATTACAATGAAATTACGATATAAACATTCAACAATCAACAAAAAAATCATCCATTCCGAGAAACTTTGAAATCCTTCTGGAAATATAATAAATACCCATGATCATAAATATCGCTGATAGCTTTCAAAATCGAAATTCAGCATACCAAGAACAATGCAAGTTTAAACTTTTATTTGCACTGGTCATTATTTAAAGTAATTATTTACTTTTCAGGGGAAAAAAGTGATATATTTACTGGAGTGATGTTCAATACCTACTCACCGCCAAAAGGTTTTTGTTTCGATATATTATGTTCAGATGAACCCATAATTGATGATAGAAAAAGCTCAGACTATAATGTTGATCGTAGGGTGAGTAAAATAATCATTTTTGCACCATTTCATTTTCAATCTGTCACCTAACAGAATATTGCGTTTTCTCTTCTTCGATGCACAAACACGTTTCAGTTTTGTGAGTTAACTGTTTCCCACAGATCTAGTTGGATCAAAACTTCATGATTCTTCCTTTAATTCCATTGCAGTCCACTAAGTGTCCAACAAATGGTTTTTTGATAACCATACCATATAATGAAGCCATGAAATGACTTCAAATTGAAAAGAGTGGGCCAAAAAGTATCAATACAGCGACAGGTGGCGTGTAGTTTTTCTTACAAAGCCACTTCTTCTTGAATTCGTTGTTTCGATATGTTAACTAATGTGGGTGGGTGGACGATAGCTGCTTTCCTAGAAAGAGCTATGTTTTTATAATCATTCATAATATACAGGGTATCCAATAAATGTGTGACAAACCAAACTCATGTTTTTTCTAATCGAAATCTTTAGATATTTTAACTCGATTCAATTTTTTTGGCAATTTTTCCTTAAAAATATAGGATGATTCGGGTTCATACCCAGTGGTTCAGAAGTAATAGTGGAATGTATGTCAAAATGTTATTTCTTCAGAAGTTTTAATATCATAGCTAGAGCGTCGATCAATTGGAATATTTCTTCTGGAGTGGAAGTTAACACTGATCGATTTAGAAGAATTACGAATAAGTTTATTTCTTTGGCACTAGATACTGAACTGATCAATAATATGTTCAGATTTGCTGATGAGTTGCTCAGCATTATTGCCTGCTAAATAATTAAAGGATATACTCGTATCTGATCGAAATTGAATTACGATGTTTAAGTTATTTCAAGAGACTGAATTGTGTTGATTCCAGCCCAATTACCATAGTGTTATTATTATTTTCAGAGATGCTACAGAGTGTCTACCACATTTCCACATTTTCAAATAAAGGTAAATAACCTCTGCACTGTTTGTTGATTATGAGAGTATATTTGTAATATTGGAGATAATTGAATCTTCACATGATGTGAGGAAGGAGAAAATCGACTGTATGAGTTGTTATCAAGAACGGTGACGATCTTTAGTCATATCAAGCACGTCCGAGAGAACCGTACACTAACTTGTTAAGTGAAGTGGATTACAAATAAGTTCCTTAACCGGACAGTCTGTCCGTTTGACTTATTTCGAACGCAGAGTAAAGAGTGAGTAATGATTTATCGATTTCGTTGAAGTAATAATAATAATAATGATCATAAATGAACTTTATATACCGACTTTATATATGAAAACAAAATTGTGATGAAAGAAGTGATCGATTGAAGACGTTCTTGTACAGAACAAGATTGTAACTATAAACAACAGACATATCAAAAAGTATATAGTCACAAACCATAATTCATAAGCCAGATTAGATTGAACTGGATCAACCTATTCACAGAAAATGGTCTCTCAATTAAATAAACATTTGTTTATGTGACAGTATGAATAATCTTATTTCTATAATGAATTCAAACTTTGATTAACATTTTATCACGTTCAAAGTGCAAATTTAAAGAAAAGAAATCCAAAATCCCTAGAACCAAATTCACATTATTTACATTTTGAACTATTTTTCCTTCGTGATAGCTTTCTTGTTCTTTGAAGAATATACTGGATATTATTTGTTGATAAATGAGTCTGAAATTTCAAAATGTTTGTTTTATACCAAAAATGTTTGGTTCAATGGCTAATACAAAACAAAATTTGCTCCGTTATCTATAAGGAAACAAACTTGGAATGAAGAATCACAATAATACTTCAATGTATGAAATATGATAATTAAAGTTTTGCAACCAGAGGCCAAAAGCATCTTCAATATTCAGGGTCTACTATCGAAAGCAGTGATTTATCTCAATTTATTGCACGATTAATTCGGCAAACTCAAGTTTGTCAATGAATTTTGAAATATTTGCAACTTGAAGCATAACTATAACTTCAGATCAATTTGAATTTCAAAATTATTTTCATCAAACAAATTAATATTGTAAATCAAAGCACAAACACAAAGCATTTTCGATTCAACAGCAGTCATCGATGTTTCGGCTCGATATAGGTCTCATCAGCTCATGGAAACAATAATAATAATGGTCATTTATCAAATGTAGACAAAAGATTTACACAATTTTCAGTAAATGTTAGGCAACTTAAAATTCGTCATATTCAATCTCAAAAATCTATTAAAATAAGTCCAAATCATAAAATAGTGCATATAATGTGTCTACACTGAAAAACTATACTGAACTGAAGAAGAATCCTGTTATTTCAAGTAGATCATCATCTACTCATTTCGCAAGTATAGTTAACTTTGTACTGACGCTTTCTATATTCTTAAAATTCTAATCTTTCAAAACTTACTACTAAGTATAGCTTTCTTTTTGATTAAATATCAATTATTATCAGCATGAGAAGAGTTTTTTTTATCAAGAATAGCTATTGTCTCTAAGATTTGGATATTCGTAGAAGAAAAAATATTAAAGGCATATATAAAAGTTCAGATGAAAGGATATTTGTTTTAATATGACATCAAATATAGATGAATCAGAATAAACCTCAAGTAAAATTTTACAGTAACTGTTATGATAATTAGAAAAGTTTTATTAGTGTTTCAGAGAGAATAAGGCATGTAGTAGGAAACTTATTATTGTAAGCTCTCAATAATCTCGTCAGTGAACTTACAAGGTTTTTCTCATGAATGTTTTGCTTGGGGCAAGTCTATGTTCCATAAATGTTACCAAATTATTTTCAGTTTGCATCATGAACAGAACCAGATAGTGCTTCAAAAGAACGGAATAAAGATGTTCTTTCTTACGATTGAAAGAGTATTCGTTGAAGATGATAATATGAAAGGTTACAGAGGTTTTCAAACTTATTTTATTTACCACCCACTTCGAGAATTAGTTATTTTCTATCGCCCCCCAATTTTTTTCACTTTACTACATCTCAAGAATCACAATCGCAGTCATTATTTTAATAATTCAAGCATGTGTATCATATGAAAATAAGACTTTCTGATGATTTTTTTAATTTTATTTTCATTTCCTCGTTCGTTATCAGTTCTGTGAGTTCTTCTTTCTGCTGGAGTGATCCTGCTGTGTTGACATTTGAAAAAGGATCCAACAGCCAGTCCGGTATTTCCAATTTTAAAATGTCCTGGAATCGTTCTGCAAAATCACTGTGGAGGTTCTCCAAATGTTGGCAGTAAACAAGCAAGTCGTCGTTATTGAAATTAGGGAAATTGCGAAAATCACGTCTGCCGATATTATTCTTGTATAAGAGCAATTTGGCTACAAAAGCAGCAATGACATTTTTTCTTTTAATCAAATTCAAGTCGTCACTTTGAATTGTGCTATCAAAAAATAATTTATTCAGGTCTGTCAAGTACACAATATCATTCTTTGAAGTGATGAGGTTATCGTGCAATTATTTGTCTTTATTTTCCAGGAACTCTATTACAGAGTCAAATAGATTGTAAAATCGAGTCAAACAGTTACCTCTTGATGACCAACGCACTTCTGTGTGAAATAGAAATCGATTGAAATCTTCATCATCAGCAATACAAATCTGATTAAATGATTTGTCATTTAAAGAGCTGTTTCGGATTTTATTGACTGCTTTGATGATATGTTAAAGTGATTGAGAGGCGCTTACTCGAATTTTTCGCAACCTAATGTTGCTAATTTTATTTTTTGAGTACGCTATGAAGCTTTTGTGACGTCCTGTCATAGCCGGAGCGTCATCCATAGCAGGTGATATAATATTCTTCATATAATATTTTCCATATAGTTTCTCCTTTTGTATTCATCTCTTAATTTCTGGCAAATAATAGTTCTTGATGTATTTTCTCATTTTTAATAAACCTCACGTATGAGAACAACAATGCTCCATTGGTTGGTAAATTGGACTCTAAATCTTACAGAATTGAGAATTTAGAATTGCACATTCTTCAGATGATTGCACAATGACTCTTCAATGTTTTCAGTCATCTCATCAATTGCACGGAACTATTGCTCAAATGAATTTTTTGGATAATATCTGCCGCTGGTTTATGGAGAACAGTAGTTATTTCTTCTTTCATTGCCGGTAAAATTAGTGTGAGGTTTACCTGTTTGAGCAATTAGCAAGGAGATATTGTAGGAAGCTCGAAGTCCGTCGTCGTCTTGCTTAGAAGTTTTGACACAGTTGGCTGAGCTGAGTATTTCTTTTCCAGTTCTTGAAAATAAGTCACACTTTTGTTTTTTTTATCTCAATACATTTTATTCAAATGATCTTATAGCTTTGAGGGTTTCATCGCTTCATTCGAAATTGTTTTTGACAAAGAAGGCAAATAGGAGAAAATGGATTTGTGGGATTTTCAACTAATCCATATTTTAAATATTTCGCGCTATGCTGGCCGCTTCTTCTTTTTTGCTTCCGACATCTGTCTTCAAAAATGCCGAAGTAAAGAAGTATTAAAAACTTGCCAATGACACAGTATTCACCACCGCACTTTACCTAGCTAGTCGCTAACTTAATTCACTTGTTTCCATAATATCATCAAATGACATTACTGGCTGGATGGCGCTCGCGATTTTGTATGAGGCAGCGGGCAGGCCTAATACTTTCGAGAATGGAGACTAGAAACTTCTCGCTTCGCATTGAAGCTCACCGCCATCTATTGTACAGTTTGACAACTATCAGACAGGAAATAGTTACTGTCTAGTCTCCTAGATGGCGTTACACGAGGAAACGCACCGTTAGGCGTGAAGGAGAGGTAAAGTTTGTCTTGAAAGGCCATCGCCCACCTAAACTGCTTCAACGCCCCCCAATCTTTTCTGTGCCCTCTACTGCCACCCTATAGGCCTCCAGTGACAACAAGGGCGCGTTATCGCTCACTTTGCGAAAGACTACGTTAAAGGCTGAAATTTTTGCCTTTTCAATATAAAATTACCATTTTTTTTCCATTAAATTCGAATCATATCATCACAATTAGGTCTTAGTTACGTTTCTAGACATATGAAATATTAAATTTTCTCCTTTTTTTTTCTAGATATGAGATAAATTGAAACGCATGTTTGGAATATTCGTTCTCTTGGAATTTTTATCATTTGAAATGGGAGGCTCAGCTAGCGTGACACCACCACAACCTCCTTTGCCAACTACACCAAAACCGGAACCTCATAGGAATTGTGGTTATGAAGTAAGTGGGTATTGAAGAAATGAAAACTAGTATCCAAAATCCCAAGATGATGAAAAATGTTTCTTCCTGAAAAATCAAAATCTGGAGAAGTTCCTATTGATTTCATGAGCACCTTTTCAACCTGCTATTTCATTTAGTCAAAATAGAGCTACAAATTGATACAGATAAATGAACTTCCAAAAATAAAATCGATATTTTCAGTTCAAATTCAAAATATCTGTTTTTGTTGTTGAATGGTTTTACCATGAAGCGGATCAGCCAAAAGTTGTAGATTACGTAAGTGTCTAATAACTGACAAAATGGTTAAGGAATTCGGGTTGAGGTTTCCAGTGCAACTATTTTTCAGGTTCAAAGGCCCTTGATTTTTGGAATTTATTCCTGACGTTTTGCTGACGCGAGTGGCTAGCTTCTTCAGAGGTTGCCCACCCGAGGAAACATAAATACGCCTTAGGCAATCGTAATATCCAGTCATCCGATATAGGTTAGACTAGGTAAGGTCCAAAGTGAGTAGGTCTATTCGACTCTCCACCGCAACTCACAAGGGTTTATTGTGGCTCACATATATTCAAACTCGATCAAATGAACCCAGCTTCTGAACGAAATCGATTAGTTTGTATGTTGATTGGTCTTTCAGGTCAGATGGTAAGAGTACGGCTCTGCCGAACTCTAAAAACCCAATTTGGTCCCCAGCGGGGCAGGCACATCAGGTGCTCTGATGTTTCATCATTTTCCAAACAGAGGCGACACACACTGTCTTCCGACAGTCCGAATTTCTGCATATGATGATTCAAATGACAGTGACCCGTAAGGCCTGTTAGACATCGTAGTTCATCTCTACTGCAGTCCAGCAACTGTTTGGTATCAAGCTTCGAAGGGTGAATAAACGCCTTGAAGTGAGTCCATTCTGGAAGATTCTGCCATAAATCTTCTTGCCATCCTGATGTTCAATCTTTGTGTTACAAAGCGTGAAGCAATGCCAATAACAGGTTCTGGTACGATGAGGCTGCTTGCAGCATACTCCTTTGCAAGGAAGTCAGCAGTCTCATTGCCTTCCAGGCCAGTATGGCCAGTAATCCAGACTAGAGACAATCTGTTGAATACATAATTTCTGCTATATCTAAAGCCGCCGGTAAAATCAAACTTTCGGCAATTGTGTGGGGTTTTCCTGTTTTAGCCACACGAAAAGCTACTCGATAACTAGCAAGCAATGCTTTTTCGTTTGGATTGGAGATTTGTACTAGAGCAGTGTTTTGATCTTGAAGAGCTTTCAATTTTCTCTCAAAAAATTCCAGGGGTTTATCGTTTTCATTTGGATGTTTTGTGTTGAGGTGGCTAACTTCGATGGCTTCATGCTTTCTCTTGATAATGCTTCAAAGCAAATAACGCAAATAACGCAATCACAGTGAACCCGAATTTCAAATAATTGTCATCATAAAGACGATTTTTTTTCGGTTTTGATCCACCACTCCCGCTAGAAGTTCGTACCTATGCGCGTAAATTGCGTTAGTTATCAATTGGCGACTTTTTCGATGTAAAATATTGTTTTTTTACGTATTTTATTATGTATTTATATCCTAATTATCAAAACGCATCAAAATGTGTATGGACTGAATATTTGTGACATAAAATAATAACATACATGAAAAAAGGGTCGGGGGGTCGCATAATATTTTTCCGTACTAAGGGGGTCGTGTCATGAAAAAGGTTGAAAAACACTACTCTATGATAAGCAGATTTCAACAAAGTATAAAACGTATGGTCTGTAGCTTATGGTTCCGAAGCTACAAATTATTTTAGTTGAAAACGAGCCACCCTAAATATTGATTTGCAGGAATAATAAAGAAACAGGACAACAATATACAGAAGGCCACATTTTGAAATATTCGTTCTAGAGACAAATATGGAAGCAATAAATCAGAAAAAAGAGATTTTTCATTAATTCCTGAATCAAAATCTGATGAATGGGCAATGAGAAGAAATGAATTTTCAATAGTAAATGTTCAAAAATGTTTCCATCAACTTTCATACAATGGTACAAACGAGCTTCCATTGCCGTCCTCACATGGTGGAGAATCTCGGAAGTTATTCATCTGCAATGCCTCGTGATATTCTCTCTCAAATCTTCTAATGTTGTTGATTTTATCTCATACACTTCAGACTTCAAATGACCCCATGGACAGAAATCTACAGGAGTGAGATCCGGAGACCTTGGTAGCCATTCTGTAGGACCTTTTCTGCCAATCCATCGACCAAGAAAATGATCCATCCTGCTGTGAAACTATTTCGTTTCCGAATTATTTATATTCTCCTCAATTACCCTAATGATGCACGGTATCATTCGATTCTCCAACATATTCAAATATTTATCACTAGTCAAATTATCATCGATAAAAAAGGTTCTTTGATGTGGCCACCTAAAANAACAGGAAGGAAATTTTTATGTTTTTTTTTAAAGTGGTTGAATATGTTTCGTGGTGCATTTCATCAGTTTGGACTTCCATTGTCTAATATGATATAAATTGATTTGAAATCCCTGAAAAAATCTGTAGGAAAATCAAAAAGATTAGTTGAAAAAACAATTTTCGTGAGCAAAAAATTGAAATCAGAATGAAATAACATACAAGCAACAACCAAAAACAACACTCAAATAGCGTTTGTTTGATGGTGGTTGGCAATGCTTCCTAGTGTATTTCATTAGTTCGGACTTCCATTGTCTAATATTATATAAATTTATTTGAAATCCCAGAAAGAATCTGTACTCTTTTCAGTAACTATGAAACACTTTACGAAGTTTAAGGTTTGTGCGTATATGGTATCCACACCATAATTATTTACGTAACCACATCGCAAATTTTCGGTCGTGGTCTACTGCATTATAAATTCATTCGAAAATAAATTACCTCTTTTCTGAAAAACACAACTCAATGTGTTTTAGAAAAATTGTTATTGATTTTAACATTTTTTTTGAGAAGTTTTGAATTAGGTCCTCATTATATACAGGGTGTTTCATAACTGAATGCTGATCCTGAATGGCGATAATCCTTGAACTGCAACCTCTTCATTTCTGAGATACAGGATGAAGAAATGAATTTCTTCATGAAGAAATTCAATGTTGAAACAAAAAAATTATTTCTAATGAATTTCTTCATAAAGAAATTCAATGTTGAAACAAAAAAATTATTTCTACCCTGATATCTCTCAAACCACTTGAGGATTTTTTCAATTCTTCTACATGCAAAGTACGCAATAACATACATGTTTCCATGATGGAGTTTTTTTTTATTTTCATCAGTGGCGTCCCTGTTAACATGCCTGTCTTGCATATGGAAAAAGGACAGTTTCCCAAATGATTTTTTTGTACTTTCCATAAAAATAATGTCATGCTTTTTTCCACTGGCGAATGGTTTTTTAGGTTGAAAATATAATGCATTCATTTGCTTGTCCCTATGCGAAATCAGCCGTTCAAGTGTACCTACCTACAGCTTGTCAAATTAGGAAGCGACTTCAATGTCTCGGCTTAGGACCTCTCCTACGATGCGCGTTCGTTAATCGACTGTGTGTGTGAGAGAGAAACATATAATTCTCAAGTCTCTCCCTAGTTTTAACAAGCTGTAGTAGGCTTATTTTGTGAGCTAGACACATCTAGATTGCTGATTCCGTTGTTGCCAAAGTAAACAATTTTGTCACTTCTCTACGTCATATCATTTACATCATAAAAACTTGTTAATTGAAGGAAAAATCAGCATTCAAACATGAAACACCCTGTATTTCTACAGTATTCTAACAATTTCTGTTGCTTTCATGATTCAACTTTGAATTCATTCGCTAGGTGGATGATTTATTCGACTACCTTGATCACCAGTCTCGATATTATGCTACTAAAAACCTCATCATAACAATGGGAGGGGATTTCACTTACATGGATGCGGAAACTTGGTTCAAAAATCTTGATAAATTAATAAGGTTCGTATTATTTTCTTCCTCAGGTTGACGATTTCTTCAATTTTCTCGAAAATATGACCAATAGTTATAATACCAATAATGTGATTGTCACAATGGGTGAGGATTTCAACTATCAGGAAGCTGATTCTTGGTTCAAAAATTTAGACAAATTAATCTTGTAAGTAATGTTTTGGAAATTGTTGAATATGTGATTACACTAAGTTGTGAGAATCATAAAATTTGTTGTGGTAACTAGTCAAAATGTAGAAATATCTTTTTGAGTTATCAAAAATTATTTGAAATTTTACGAATAACCACAAGTTGTTTATTAAAGATTTCAGTGAATCATCAATGATGTTGTGAAATACAATATGATTGATTCATCAAGATCATTATATAAATGAAAATTGTTGTATACGCACACAATAGTATTTCATAAAAAGGTTTGAAACTGATGAGTCACTTGAATGTTGATGGTTTTTTCCTTATCAAGATAGTTGATGAATATTATACCATGCGCATCCAAAAATCCGGATACCATAACCTTGCCAGCTGTCTGTTTCGTCTTTGCACGCTTTGGAATCCATCCATCACGGGCGGTCCACTCAAATGACAATAGATCAGAGGTTCTCAAACTTATTTTGTCTACCGCCCACTTCGAGAATTAATTATTTTCTAGCGCCCACCAATTTTTTTTACTTTACTACATGTTAAGAATGATAATAGCAGTCGTTATTTTAATAATTAAATTATGTGTGCTATGTGAAAATGAGACTTTCTGATAAGGGTAATGTAAAACACCATTTTGTAATATTAGGAAAACTTTTATTCATGTTATTGAAACAAACATTTCAATTTGAATTTTAAAACTAATCTAATGTGAAAGATGAATTTGATGATTTTTAACAAGTTTGTTAATATCAGGCTCGAATTTACTCACAAACAGCCGTAAGTCACCGCGTTCGGTAATCTGCAACCAATTTCTCTTTTTAGTTAGGAACGTTGCCACAACACTAAATCCACGTTTACACAAATAAGATGATGAGAATGCCATCAAAAATCGTTGAACGATGGACCACAATCCAGGGTATAATTGCACGTTTGGCTTTTGTAGCCAAAATTCTTAGTATCCATTTTGAATTTTATTTTTATTTTCTCGTTCGTTATTAGTTCTATGAGTTCTTCTTCCAGCTGTGGTGATCCTGTTGTGTTGACATTTGAAAAAGGATCCAACACCCAGTCCGGTATTACAAGTAAGTCGTCGTTTTTGAAATACTGCTGACAAATTAGGGAAATTGTGGAACTCACGTCTGCCGATATCATTTTTGTATAAGAGCAATTTGGCTACAAAATCATTTTTTGTTCTAATCAAATTCAAGTCGTCACCTTGAAGTTGGAGATTGACATCATTAAATATTTTATACAGGTATCTTAAGTACGCAATCAAGTACGCCATCATTCTTTGAAGTGATAAGGTTTTCATTCAATTCTTTGTCTTTGTTTTCCAAGAAGTCTATTACAGAGTCAAATAGATTGTAAAATCGAGTCAGATAGTTACCTCTTGATAACCAACGCACTTCTGTGTGAAATAGCAGTCGATTGAAATCTTCATCATCAGCAATACAAATCTGATTAAATAATCTGTCATTTAAAGAGCTGTTTCGGATTTTATTGACTGCTTTGATGATATATTGCAGTGATTGAGAGAGGTGCTCACTCGAATATTTCGCAACCTAATGTTGCTTATGAATGAAGCAATGTACGCTATGAAGCCTTTGTGATGTCCTGTCATAGCGCGCCATCCGTAGCAGCTGATATAATATTTTTCAATGGAATTTCTTTTTTATCACAAAATTTTTCCAGTATATTATATATGGTTTCTCCTTTTGAATCCGTTTCTAAATTTCTGGCAAATAGTAGTTCTTCACATATTTTCTCATTTTTAATAAACCTCACGTATGACAACAACAATGCTCCATTGGTTGGTAAAGTGGACTCATCTAACTGAATTCAGAGAATTCAGAAGTCTACAGATAATTACACATTGTTTTCAGCCATCTCATCAATTCGTCTTTGCACGGAACTATTGCTCTAAGGAATTTTTCGGATAACTGGAGCACAGTAGTTATTACTTTTTTTATTGCCGGTAGAATTGAATCCTCTTCAATAGTGTGAGGTTTACTTGTTTGAGCAATTAGCAAGGAGATATGTACGAAGCTCGGAGTCCGTCGTCGGAGAAGCCGCTGAAAAAAGTTTTGACAAAGTTGGCTGAGCTGAGTGTTTCTTTTCCAGTTCTTTAAAAAAAGTTACACTTCTGTTTCTTTTATCTGAATGCATTTCATTCAAATGATCTTGTAGCCTTGAGGGTTTCATCGCTTCATCCGAAAATGTTTTTTGACAAAGAAGGCACATACGTGAAGATGGATTTGTGGGGTTTTCAATAACTCCATATTTTATATATTCCGCGCTATACTGCCATTTCTTCTTTTCTGCTTCCGAAATAATTTTGTCTTCAGAAATGCCGAAGCAAAGAACCGAGTATTAAAAACTAATGACACCACTCACAATATTCACCATCTCACGCACAACACTTTACCTAGCTAGTCGCTAACTCAATTCACTTGTTTTTGTAATATCGTCGAATGACATTACTGTCTGGATGGCGCGCGCGCTTTTATATGAGGCAGCGGGCGGGCCTCTTACTTTCGAGAATGGAGACTAGAAACTTCTCGCTTCGCATTGAAGCTTATCGCCATCTATTGTATAGTTTGACAACTATCGGACAGGAAATAGTTACTGTCTAGTCCCCCAGATGGCGTTACACGAGGAAACGCGCGTTAAGCATTAAGGAGCGGTAAAGTTTGTGTTAAAAGCTGTTTTGATTACCTTCGCCCCCTAAAGCGCTTCAACGCCCTTCAATCGTCTCTGTGCCCTTTACTGTCCCCCTATAGGCCTCCAGCGCCAAGGGGGCGTTATTGCCCACTTTGAAAAAGACTTGTTTAGATCCTGGTATGAAATGATGGAGCCATGCTTCCATCCATTGCAACATATCCATATATAAATGGTGGCACAGCTTCAAACACTGCTCAAAATCATCAAATCGTTGTTGTTTTTGATTGATTGCGAGCTCACACGACACCCTCTTTGAACAGAGCTGTTGTACACCCAAATATTCACCCACGATATGTCCAACATGTTCCTTTGATATCTTTGAAGCCTCAGCTATCTTGATCAATTACACTTTGTGGCATTCAAAGTTTTCCTCGATAACAGCCTCTTTTATTAAAATGATGGATGAAGCCGTTGTTACTACGTGGTAGGAGATCATCATGAAAAATGAAATGAATGTTTTTTAACACTTTTATTCATAACTAAAGTTACTGCAGTTTCGTTCTGTACGGACATTTCCAAACGAATACAATATTGTATTCGTTAGTTACACTTCGTTCAAACTTAGCAAACCACTTCCCAACGGTTGATTTTTCCATCCATTTTGTTCAAACTAATATGTTTCGTCACTCAAAATATTCTATCCCACAAACTTATAGTCCAACAGCTGTGAAATTTGTATGCGTGTCTTTTGAAGGTTACGTTCAACTGAAAATCATATAGATTCAATACCAGTAGCGCCATCTGTGTGTTAGCCTACGAACTTTTCAGCTTACTCAATAGTTAGGCTTACGTAGGTTCTTCTTGCGACGATACTTAATTGTTTGGAGAATTCGAGCTGTTGGTCAAAAATAACACCAAGACATTAAGCTTTAAAAACAGAAAGAATAAATTCGTTGTCAATACGTACAGAAAACTCATCAAGGCGGCTTACGTTCAGAGCTATACACCCAACATGAAATAGTCATTAATTACTTATGACATTTTTCAATAGAAAAATTACTTTCCGATTTACTATTGGAAACATTTCTTTTTTTTTCCAATAACTTCGTGTAAAAATGTGCTTTTTCAATGAACACTGTTTTAATCTGCATTTTTATGCATTAATGTTTCAGCTACGCTAATCAAAGGCAAGCCAACGGTTCCATATACAATTTGATTTATTCAACGCCTTCTTGTTACGTTAAAGCAGTGCACGATGCATCAGTTGGAAAGAAGTCGTGGCCTGTAAAAAGGGACGATTTTTTCCCGTACGCCTCAGATCCACATGCCTTCTGGACAGGATATTTCACGTCTCGTTCAACCATCAAACGTTTCGAGAGAGAAGGAAATAATTTCTTGCAGGTAAGAAGGATATGATAATCCTACAACTAGTAGGATTATCATATACTGTGCATTCCATTTAAAACGATCCACCCTGAATAACTCGGTACAAAAATAAAAAAACACGTCGACAATAGTGAAATATTTTGAAATATTCACATTTGATCTAACTTTTCCTATTGCACCCCTAGAGCATGTCACCATCTTTTTTTAATGGATCACTCTAGGTTGTTTCACATTATCAAATGCTCTATGACACCGTTTTCCAACGTGTGGGTCGCGACCCCCTGGAGGGTCGCGATGCTTCTGTAGGGGGGTCGCGCAAGGATGAAAAAACTACCTCAGTAAAAATAATAAAGTTTATGAAGATATATTCGTCAAGAAAATGTTAACAAAAAACATATACTGGTCAAAATTTGAACATATTAATACAAACAAATCAACAAAAAATTAAAGCTTACGTCTACTTGTCACTCCTAATGCGAAGGTTGCGCTTGTTTTCGATTGATCAATTTTTCCAATTGTGATTCCGTGTTTGCTACATTGAGTATTGAGTCATTTTATAAATTTAAGCGATTTCTTTGCTTGCTTTTAATTTGGGTCATTGATGAAAATGTCAACTCGCAAAAATACGAAGTGGCAAATGGAATCAAACCCCTCAATGCCTCAGTTGTTGATTTCGGGTATTCTGCTTTTTTTTACCAAAAGCCATCCGTATTGGCAGACTTGAATTCTGAGTGTAACATCCCATCGGCAGATCACTCCAGCAAATTTTCTTTTAGGTTAGTTGTTAAATTCGCTTCATAGCTGCAGTTAAAAATGGATTCAAGATCCACCTTTGCTTAATGTTTTCCAATATCACTTGCACAGAAAAGCAATGACATAATTCTTCTTTCAAATTATCTAACACTGTTTTCATATCAGGTATATACTCCTTGAGGTTTATCTCACATCCGACTTCTTCAATATAAGACTGTGTCGACGAAAATGAATCGAAGTTATTGTGATTTATAGAGAATGACCACAAATCAATTTTCTTTGTAAAGCCATGTATTTTGTCTTTTGCAGTGATGACATTTTCATCTCGCCCTCGAAGACTTTTATTCAAGATATTTGAATGGTCAAATACGTCAGCAAGAAAAGCTAATTTCAAAAGAAAATCCAATTCACAAATAAATTCAGAGTATTCCGACTTGGTCTTCTGTAAATATATTACAATTTAAGCTCGGAGTTCCATAACTTTGGTCAATACTTTGTCTCTCGGTAACCACCTAACATCTGTAACGTAAAGTCAATTTTAGTAGAGTGCCCTCATGTCTTTAGAAATAATCCGAAACAATCGTATCTAAAACGCTTTTCCTTTAATTGAATTTACAATTTTTATAATAATATTTAGAACTTGACTGTATTCCTGTGGCAAGGTTTTGGCCGCAAGAGCTTGGCGATGAAGAAAGCAATGCATCCAAGAAGCGTTTGGCATTTATTCTGTCAATCCAGTAATAAATTCACTTTTTGTACCAGTCATAGCTTTTGCTCCATCACTACAAATAGCAATGCATTTTTCTTCCCAATCGATACTCATATCTTGCGTAACTTCAAGGAACATGTTATGCAAGCACTGACCTGTAATGTTTGGGGGAAATGCTCTGCAAAATAGTTAATTTTTCATTAGATTAATAATGCACAAAAGCGACAAACTGCGCACAACCCGCAATATCTGTAGATTCATCAAATTGCAAGGACACAAAAGTACTTTCTTCTACTTTTTCTATGACTTAGTCTCGAACGTCAGTCGCAATATCGCTTATCCTGCGTTGAATGGTATTGTCTTGAGCTGTTCTACTTCTTTGTACATAATTTCTGCTATATCTAAAGCCGCCGGTAAAATCAAACTTTCGGCAATTGTTTTCCTGTTTTAGCCACACGAAAAGCTATTCGATAACTAGCAAACAACGCTTTTTCGTTTGGATTGGACATTTGTACTATAGCAGTGTTTTGATCTTGAAGAGCTTTTAATTTTCTCTCAAAAAATTCCACAGGTTTATCGTTTTCATTTGGATGTTTTGTCTTGAGGTGGCTAACTTCGATGGCTTCATGCTTTCATGCATCAAAACGCATCAAAATGTTGTATGGGCTGAATATTTGTGACATAAAATAATAACAAACATGAAAAAAGGGTCGGGGGGTCGCGTAATATTTTTCCGTACTAAGGAGGTCGTGTCATGAAAAAGGTTGAAAAACACTGCTCTATGATAAGCAGATTTTAACAAAGTATAAAACGTATGGTCTGTAGCTTATGGTTCCGAAGCTACAAATTATTTGAGTTGAAAACGAGCCACCCTGAATATTGATTTGCAGAAATAATAAAGAAACAGGACAACAATATACAGAAGGCCACATTTTGAAATATTCGTTCTAGAGACAAATATGGAAGCAATAAATCAGAAAAAAGAGATTTTTCATTAATTCCTGAATCAGAATCTGATGAATGGGCAATGAGAAGAAATAAATTTTCAATAGTAAATGTTCAAAAATGTTTCCATCAACTTCCATACAATGGTACAAACGAGCTTCCATTGCTGTCCTCACATGGTTGAGAATCTCGGAAGTTATTCATCTGCAATGCCTCGTGATATTCTCTCTCAAATCTTCTAATGTTGTTGATTTTATCTCATACACTTCAGACTTCAAATGACCCCATAGAAAGAAATCTACAGAAGTGAGATCCGGAGACCTTGGTAGCCATTCTGTAGGACCTCTTCTGCCAATCCAGCGACCAGGAAAATGATCATCCAAAAATTGTCGCACTGGAGCTGCATAATGAGGAGGTGCACCATCCTGCTGAAAAACTATTTCGTTTCCGAATTATTTATATTCTCCTCAATTACCCTAATGATGCACGGTATCATTCGATTCTCCAACATATTCAAATATTTATCACTAGTCAAATTATCATCGATAAAAAAGGTTCTTTGATGTGGCCACCTAAAATTCCTGCCCAAACATCCAGTTTTTGAAGTCGTTAGGTATGAACTTTACTGTATAAATAAGGATTCGTATCACTCCAATATCGACAATTTTGCCGATTGACCTCTACATTCAAACTAAATGTACATTCACCCAAAAAACAAATTTTATACAAGAATTCTGATGCCAAGTTAATCCGTTCAGTGAGACTTTCACAAAACTCGATACGTCTACCGAAATCATCTTCGTTCAATTCATGGACTAGACTAATTTTATATGTATGAAATTATTACTAATGAAGGATCCTGAAGAAATTTGTATGACTGATTCCTGATTCTCGATATAACTTAGTAGGAGATTGCGAATTTTCCATTAGTCGAACGTGCCCAAAAACTTCAATACAAATAGCTACATCGTTGACAACTCCTGAAAGGTTAAACTTTTTATTGTTAACAGATTCAGTTTCCATAAATTTGTTCAATAATTTCGAAACGTATTTTTTTCGAACATTTTATCCTGCAAGAATAACATTGAACATACGGGCAGCAGCTCTAGCACTATTTTCATTCTGGTAGTACAAAGTCACTATTTCAATCCGTTCACGAAGCTTATAAACCATTACTCCTCAAGAATTCACAAAAACAGAAACCCCAATTGTAACTTCACTTGCTAGGTAATTGTTATTGAAGAATAAGACAAATACAATATGAAGATGATATCGAATTTAGACCTAACTAGGCAAAATAAGACTTTTTTGAAGTATACTTCACAANTATGACCAAAAAGTGAATTTGTAATATTATTATAACCTACTTATTAGTGACGATTCCCATAATGTATGGTACTTGTATTATAACATTCAGTGGAAAATAAATTGTCTTGTCTTGTCTTGTCTTGTCATCCATTTTGAACAGAGATTTCTCATTGTCAAATGATCATTCATTTATTCATGTTTTCTGTCAAACCCGCCTTTTTTTTTCATAAAGCGTAGTCCTCATAACACTTTTCAAGCCATTTTTCCGCTTGAACGGCATTTTTCCCATCAAGGAGCGGTGAAAAATTAAAACACAAAGTTGTTTTGGATGATTTGTTTTGAAAATAACAAAAGTAGTGGCACTCTTAGCACAATAACTCACAAACTGAGGTAAACTAAGTAGAATATCATGAAATTTCAACAGCTTCCTTTTGAAGGTTTGTACCAACTGAAAAAGCGGTAAATGCAATAACACTATCGCCATCTATGTGTTAGGCCCGATACTTTTCAGCCCATGTTGTCGTATATTGCAGATTTTCACTCGACAGTTCACAAGACCCACGTGTATTTCATTTTCATTAGAATCGACGTTCTCGTTGAACACTTAATTGTTCTTCGCCTTCACCAGCTTTTCATTTTCAGATTTGTAAACAGCTTTACACTCTTGCGGAGCTAGACCCAATTGACCGAGTGGATCTGAATGCCCTCAGGGAAGCAATGGGTGTTATGCAACATCACGACGCCATCACAGGAACTGAGAAGGAACATGTCGCTCATGATTATTCGAGAATCCTAGCAAAAGGAATGGATGAATGTAATTTCATTACTGCATCTGCTCTAAGGTAAAATGAAAATATTTGGTTAATTTACGTGAATCCTGATGTCGCAAAATTCATAATGTTTTCAAAAATAAAGATACCAATGAAAGCAACAATATGGAAGACATAGGTACACATAATGTTCAAATACTTCAGACTACAGGTTTGTTCTGGTTCTGACATCTGAAACTGTCTGGAAACTGCGCAAGACATGATGCGTACATACAAAAAATATCAAACAGTCCAAAATAGTCTTGGACACTTGGATAAACCAGAAGGCATTTTGACCACTGTGCCACCTATCGTATATATGAAGAGATGAAAAGGAGAAAATACTGTTGATCATGTCCATTTTGTTATGTAGCGTATCCTTGTAGTCAGTTCAAATGTTATCTAAACTCAACCATCAATTATTTAAATCAAATAAATGAAAAAAAAACATCCCAGAAAATAACCCAAACAAATTTCCACATGAATGCGCATGAGCAACGGGAACAGTTTCTTAACAGTTCAGCCTCGAGAGTAAGAACGATTTGGGACGGTTCAAGACAGTTCAGGATCATTTCGCAGTCAAAACCAGAACAAAGGATTCATCACTCCAAATTTCAATTATCCAGAACGCTCTATATCAACTGCGCATGATCCTGACGTCCTAGAAACTGAATTTCGTAGAACCAGAACAAACCTTATGGCAAATTGCGATTCATCGCGAATTTTTTATTCAAAAGCATTCATAGACTAAGCCATTCTCTATTGGATTGATTTATTGCCACCTTTTTTAGATGAATATTCTTTATTCGTTCAAGTGTAAAATAGATAATATCCAAGCAGGTGTAGAACATGTCAATAATATAAACAGATTATGAATAAAATGGGATAAAAGAAGAGAAAAGAAATTCATTAATACTGTTTATTGTATGATTTTCACTATAACGGGTTTTACAAAAACCGCGACACGTGTTTCCCAATACAATAGATTTCTCTAGCGTTAATAATAAGCTACTTCTAAATTACAACTATTTTATGGAGAAGAAAGTTTTTGGCCTTCTACTTCCCCATCTCGATACAAAAAATGTAGGAATCTTCTAAAGGAAGGAAGAATTCATCGCGAATTTTTTATTCAAAAGCATTCATAGACTAAGCCATTCTCTATTGGATTGATTTATTGCCACCTTTTTTAGATGAATATTCTTTATACGTTCAAGTGTAAAATAGATAATATCCAAGCAGGTGTAGAACATGTCAATAATATAAACAGATTATAAATAAAATGAGATAAAAGAAGAGAAAAGAAATTTAATAATACTGTTTATTGTGTGATTTTCACTATAACGGGATTTACAAAAACCGCGACACGTGTTTCCCAATACAATAACTTCCTCAAGCGTTGATAATAAGCTAATTCTAAACAACTATTTTATGTAGAAGAAAGTTTTTGGCCTTCTACTTCCCCATCTCGATACAAAAAATGTAGGAATCTTCCAAAGAAACGAAGAAATAAATAAAAAAATATAATTCTATACAAACATGTGTAGATCATGTAACTTCCAGACACAAACTGAATGAAAAAGCCCTTTCGAAACAGCTATTTACATGTAAACATTGAATTACATGAAAAAAAAATACCTTTGAAACAAATACTTTCATTTGAATACTGAATTATACGAAAAACACTATTCTCTATTGCATTTGTATTCCAACATCCATATGGAATCAAATCAGATATCATTCACAGGATTTTTATACGATATAATTAATGAAAGAAGAACAATCTCACTTACATGAAACCTTGCTATCATCACTGCTAGACATCCGATGTTTCGCCTTGAGAAAGACATATTTGTTGCAAATTGGATAATTTTTTGGTCAACTATATAAGGCAAAATTTCACTAGTTCGGACTTCCATTGTCTACTATATAAAATGATTTGAAATCCCTGAAACTACTAAAAAAGAAGAATTGAAAATGAATAGCTGAAAGCCTTGTAGAACTCCTACTTTTATTATTCCCTTTTCAGATTTTATTTGTTCTCATTTTTAATCTCTTTCTATTAGCTATTGAAATCTATTTGTTTCAGTAAACTTGTCGCTCCCGAGGAAAAACTTTTCGTAAATGACGAGCCTGCACCTGTTATACCTTTCGAAACTTGTCCCTTACTCAATGTGAGCCAATGTGGATTCACTGAGAAAAACAATGGTTTTGTAGTGACAGTTTATAATCCCCTCAGCAGACCTGTCTCGAAACATATCAGAATTCCAATTCGGGGAGATCATTATGTTGTCATCGATCCAAAAGGTAATTATATTCTAGTTCGTTGTTTCTCCTACTGAAGTTACCAAACTAGTTACTGAATCGCCAAGCTTTCTGGTATATGAATGATGGACTATTCGAAGCAAAATCCAATACAACCGATATTTAGGAATCACGTTGAATGGTAAGACCTCGTTAGTCTTTAGCTCGCAGAAGTTTCTGAGGGATGTCGTTCGTAGAGGTGCGATAGCTGGTTAACGAAAAAACATATTTTCAAACATATTTACGTAATACAGAATTGATGAATTTCTGAAAAAAACTATTTTTTTTGGGTATACAATAAATAAATATTTATTTCAGTTGAAACTTGTCTTGCTCATTTTTCTACATTCGTGTTGCTTTAGAATTAAAATTTCGTTGCTGTATCGTTTGTTTCTGTTTTTAATAAAGAAAACATATCAGAAAATAATTTGATGATTCAGATCTTAGGCTCAAAATATTCTGGAAATGAAATAGCTGTCAATCAGCCGTCAATAGCTGACAACCATCAGTTTCCTTCTCCCATCAGTATGCAAGGAAATACGATGATGGTAAATGCAGTTGATAATAGAACCAATACCAATTTTCAAATAACTATTTACAGTATACAACTCAAATATTGATTTGGTCCGTTAGTATCTTCAAATAGATGGTTCTTATTCTCTGGCACTCATCGAAACAAAACTTGGTGCTACTCCATCGATCTTAACCCAATTCTTTCTCTTTATCCTGAATGACAACGATAGAAAACACTACACGACACTAACAAAAACAAATACATTCTAAACTATTTATTGGATGCTCAGTTTATGGTAGCAATATTTTCTGGTTGAAATTTCATTTATGATTTTGTGTATTTATATCAAAAATATTTGTTCGAAACCCAAGTGTTTGGTTGCTTCAAAAGTTTTGTCCACTTTCATGAGTCTACTTAAAGCTGTAATATCTCAGTGGATACTAATTCAATTTAATCGAAATTAGCGCCGTTCGAATCAGTGCTGACGTAACACGAGTCGATTAATTTTGTGCTGGGGATTCGAAGAAGTCGACGAAGACCGTTTTTGCTTGATCCTGATTGGCGAAGGTTCTACCGGTGAGAAAGTTATTGAAGTGCTAAAAAAATGGTTGTCGGTTGGTAAGGGGTCTGAGAAGTATGGAAGGTGAGGCAGATCTTCGACGTTCACTTCGTTCAATTTTCGGATGATAAAATATAAAACGTGCAGACAGTATTATCGGGGAGCAGGATTGGACCTCTTCTGTTGACCTGTGGCGGCTTCTGAAATCGATTTTCTCAAAATAGGACTCTGCTGTAATTTGGCTCGGTTGCAGAAAGATATAGTAAATCACACCAACAGCTGACCATCATACAGTAACTATGGTCTTTTTTTGTGTGTTTTCGCCCTTGGGAAGTGTCTGGGTGGGTCATCGGTGTGCAGCCATTGTCCCCAACGTTTCCTGTTATCCTTAAGAACCCACTTTTCATCACACGTGACGATCCGATTCGAAAAAGGATCGTTTCGGTTGCGCAAAAGCAGCAAAAAAGAACACGTTTGTGGTGGTCCAGTTTCCAACAGAGTCCTTGAATTCTTGTCCTAGATTACTGTAGGTTGACCACTTCTGGGCACTTCTTCACGGCTAAACTCTCCGGAACGAAATTTCGCGAACCAAACGTCGAACAGTGCTTCTGTATCTGTATCTGTAAAATAGGGAGAGTGAGTGTAGACCCACAGCACCCATGGAGTTGTCCTCCTAGGTCATCGTCCATCCTGTCCTTTCCAGGAAGGTGGGCAGGTCTCTGGGAGACATCTCCTTTATATCGGCAGGTGTAGGCCAACACTCGCCGAACACACACTCTCTTATTGACGAATAACTCCAGACAGTCGCATAGGACATGCCTGACAGTTTCATCTTCCTGTTCATACATTCTGCATAGAGGTGTGTCCACTAGCCCCATATTGTGGAGGTGTTTCCTTAGTTGACAGTGGCCAGCCAGAAATCCTACTGTTAGGCGTAGATTTTTCCTGGTCATCGCCAGATATTTCTTCGGCGCCAGCTTCCCAGGATCGTCAAGGGTGATCCTGGCGAGATTGCATACTTTGATTTCATCCCATCTCTTTAGGGATTGAGCATGGGTGTGACGTTTAGCTAGTTCCGAAATTGTCGAAGTCATCAGGCCGTAGGTGTCGCTGGGTCCTATAATTCTTTGTCCAGCCGCTTCCTTAGCTAAAGAGTCGGCAATGCGATCACCTTTACTACTGTCGTGCCCTTTAATCCAGGATAATGTTATTATCTACGGAGGATTTGGCTAAACCTTGGTGGCACTCTAGTACTAGCCCTGAGGTAACACGATGTCTGTTCAAGGCTAATAGTCTTGTCTACTATCAGTGCAAATTGTTATATTTTTGCCAGAAATTCCTTTTTTCTAGTTATTTCTTTTGTAGCGATTGAGATACCAGAACAGTGCTTTCATCAACACTATCATTGACAAATGCCTGGTTACTTTTTCGTAGTCTTTCGGCAGCACTTTGATTCGATTTGAATTTGTAGAGAAAAATTGGCCGAAAATCGCTTAACATCATAATATAGTAATGAACTGAAAGGAGGCCATAAATAAAAATTTGGAGAAAAATATACAGCATCAATGTATAGACTACAAAATTCTCTATCGATCAGTATATGCCAGAATGAATAGTGGAATGAATATTTATTGAAAAATACATGACATCGAAAGGGACAACACTTTTAAAACAATCAAAAACAATAATATTTCCAGCACGAAGTGATAAATTCCGAAAACTCCAAGTGACTTCACAAAATGGTTTCCTCGTAACAAGTCCGTATTAACGTTTTTCCAGGCGAGCATGAAAGGAAATTGAGTGATTCAATCAGGCAGAAATGAAATCAATATGGAACAGAATATTATACGAGTATATGGAGTTTATATAATCAATGGTGTTTGGCAGAAAGTTATAAAAATAGCCGTATGTTCTATGAAACTAACAGCTTTCTCAAGATATTTTTCTGCAACATCATATAATATCTTAGAGATTCTGTTTCCTACATGGGTTTGAAATAATACGATTATTATAATGGGAAGAATGTAGGATCTGTTTGAATGATGAAAATTAATTTCTGATGAAAATCGAAATACTTGCTTATACTTGCAAGGATTACTTGCTTACAAATATTACTCGAACCTAATTGCAATATCTGATAATTCAAAAATTCTAAACCATTTTGATTGCTATTTGGATTACAGCACTATCGGTAATTACATCAATTATGGTAATAACAGTTCCAGATGATCGATTTTCATCAATTACACGTTTCACTCTCTTACAGATATATTCATATTCAGATTGAAAATCAGACAAGTCTACCCAAAACATCTATATCATTCATCCATTCATTGAATTGTCATTGACTACTGATTTTCAAATATATTGAAATTTGAACTTGTGATGCACTGTTTGGAATCTTTGATGTAGTGATGAATATTATTGGACTTTTATCTCAACACCAAACCATTATTTTCAACACATCGACACGTGTTTCGACCACCAAGTGATCATCTCCAAGAAGAAGATCAAACTCCAGTAATATTCACTGAAATTTCAATCAAATGGTTGTTTATAAAATAATTCAACCTAGTTCCCTTTTTTCAGGAAATCAACTGGATACCGAAATAATTCCCATACCTGAGTCGATACTGAGAATACCTGGTAGGAAGAGTAATGCCAAAAACGAACTTATATTTCTAGCATCTAATTTGCCACCTCTCGGTTTCAAGTCTTATTTTGTAGAAGAGGCTAGTGAGAATGACCTACCCCAAAAACCCCACAAAAATAAATCAAGGCTGCGGGTAAGAATAACAATTGAATACAAATTAGAACTTCCATTATACTATTTCTTGTCAGCTGAATATCTGACTACTCAACTTCTGATATACAGGGTGTTCATTTGAAAACTTCCCACCACGGATTTATCGAAAACTACTGATTGAAAGAAAAAACGCCGAGACACGTCAGAAGATACATCAAAGGGGACAACTTTTTAACCAATAACTACTTCACCCCCTTTCACCCTCTGCACCCCAGGATCATTTCCTTATAAAATTTTCAAGGAAATGATCCTGGGGTGCAGAGGGTGAAAGGGGGTGAAGTAGTTATTGGTTAAAAAGTTGTCCCCTTTGATGTATCTTCTGACATGTCTCGGCGTTTTTTCTTTCAATCAGTAGTTTTCGATAAATCCGTGGTGGGAAGTTTTCAAAATGAACACCCTGTATGTTTGGCAGTATGTTTTCCCAATTTTGAAAATTGTAGTTTTTATCAACGCTTTCAACTTCAACCTATCGATAGAAGAGATGATCTCTTTCCCTACGAAGATTCCATCTATGAGATCGACAGAAGACTCAATCCTTGAATCAAAGATAAACGAAGTTCCCCAAGGCGGTCAGTTGAAAAGCCAAGCTTCAACATTGACCGCCAAACGAGTTTCGCCATCTGTCTTTCACTGCAAGGTAACTAGATGAACCTGTGATTCAACACGCAAGCAACAGCGCTGTTTCGAGCCGCCAAGGTTTCAACAGTGGTGCAAAGCTGAACCACTCAACTGTCCTGAAAAGGACAAGCCTGAAAGTAAAGGTGATGACATCTTATCGAACGAAGTCTCGAATATCAAGGATAAACGAGTCTCCCTAAAGCGGTCACTTGCAAAGCCAAGCTTGAACATCAACAGCCGCAGTGCAAGGCAAACAAATGAGCTGGTAATCCAACACCAGACAGCGCTGTTCTCACCCGCCAAATGTTGCTACGATGAATCACTCAACTGCCCTAATTCAATACTATTAGTATTGATTTGACTAAAATCAATGTTTGTTGATTCTCCTTTCTGTTCCAATTCAGTTCGGATCTCTTTCATTAGTATTCGTTTTTCATGTGGTATTTTTTGTGGTTGATGTTAATTAGTAGGTATAAGGGCTCTAAGCTCTAAGAATTTCAGTCATTTATAGCTAGGATGTTATAAACTTCATTCGTATTACTGAATATAAAATTTTCATTACCATCAACATGGTATTGTAGCCAATTATTCATTGGTAACATGTGATAATTTTTTTCTGTTTTATAAAATGCTTCTTCTCTATAATTTTCAAATAATTAGCTGATGATGAACCTATGTAGGTTCGAAACATGTACTGATTGATGGTTTTACCGTTCTAACATATGAGGGTGATAATAAATTTTGGAGACTCCTTCAAGTTTCCTTCTCACTTCTTCAAAATCCTCTTCAAATTTCCTTTCAACCTCTTCAAGCTTCTCATCAACTACTTTTTCCAATACCTCTTTTGTTTCCTCAAATACCTTCCCAAATTCTTCCTGAATATATTCCTGTACCTCCCCTTTACTTACTTGAAAATATTTTAAATCTTCCAACCTGCAAGTCTCTGTCTTTCTACTGTTTTTCTTGAATACCTAGTAATAATTCACGATCTTCATTTCGGTGTAATTGTTCATCCTCTTTTTTGCGTTCATCTTCCTCTCTTCTGCGTTTTTCGTTCTCCGCCAGGCTCGCTTGCAAAGCCTCAAACATTTTCCCAAGCTTTTTCATTCCGTAGTAATCGACACTCTTTGTTTTCACCATAAAACAGACAAATTTCAGTCAATTATTCCACTTCCTACACCAAATGTCACTTTTTTTCCCGTGGGTTGACCAATAATTGACTACACTGAATAATCAAACTTAATTTTATTTCACTTCAAATACAACAAACAATTTAACTTTAACTTCAACTATTATTCGAATGTCTATCGCCTTACTAGATCGCTTCGCATACCGCACTATAATTTCCACTTGACTGTGTCGATATGTTCGTGGCTAGCGTTTATATATCGTAATCGAATGCGTTAGAAACTTTCGCCGGAATTCCATCGAAATCGGTACTATTATTCCCGCTGCATCTAGAGCGACAGCGAACATCGTACATCCGCGCGCTCTTAGCCATGTCACAATTGGTTTATGGCTACCAGTGGCGGCTGGCGTTATTTTATTTAGGGCATTCATTATTTCTCGAACTATGTATGGTAAGAGGACTAAAATGATTCAACGAGAATTGGTGAATGAGCTTGATGTTGGTTCAAACCCAACATTTCCTTGGGCTCCAGAATGTCTTCTTGAAATTCTCGAACTACCTGAAGTTTGGAGTAAATAATCTGCTATAACGCTTCTTCACTTGAGAATACCTCACGGCATCAAATATCCTTGACGGTATATCCATGTTCAATTTTAGAATGTAACTCAAAAAAATCGTACTCTCCTCCTCTTCTTCGGGTCTGTATCAATCTTCAATATTAATTTGGATATAGCATGTAGTTCAAATTCCTTCGGAAAAGAATACTGCATGCTTGGTTCAAAAAAGATACGACACAGTTATCAGTAACACTTTTGGGTGGAGGGTGGAACAGACCTACTCACTATTACCTAGTTGAAAGTTTGATGACCCTATCGAGGAACATATCTCAAGACATGAAAATCCGATACTCATGAATTTTATATCAAAATTTGGCCATTCAAAGTAATTCAATTTTCAGGAAGCAGAATTCCAAATCAATGAAACTACCGGGTCGATCAGCAAAATAATCATGAATAATATATCTCTAGACTTCAACCAAGAATTTCTTTACTACAAAGGATTCGTTGGTAACAATGAGGTTTTTGCGAATAGATCATCAGGTGCATATATATTTCGACCATACGGCAAAGCTTCTAGTATAGAAAACCAAAACCAAGTCAAAATCTACTTGGGCAACCTGGTTTCTGAAGTACATCAACAGTACAATGACTGGATCAGCCAAATAATTCGAGTCTATAGCGGAGAAACATACGTTGAATTTGACTGGATCGTTGGACCTATACCCACTGAGTAAGTCTCATAATATTTGTCTATCATTGAACACACCTTGATGACCAATTTTGATTTTTGTAGCGACGCTCATGGAAAAGAAATCATTACGAGATACACGACTCCTTTGGACTCCAACTCTTTATTCTACACTGACTCGAATGGGCGTGAAACTCTTACAAGAATACGTAATTTCCGACCGACTTGGAATTTGAACCTCAAAGAACCAGTGGCGGGAAATTACTATCCAGTTACCTCCAAAATATCAATCAGAGAAAAGGATCTTGAAGTCGCTGTGCTAACTGATAGAGCTCAAGGAGGTTCAAGTTTGGAGGACGGACAAATTGAACTTATGGTTAGTGGTAGTTTTTGAGTTACTGCTAGGTTTAAACAAACTCATTTCAGCTACATAGAAAGTGTTTACATGATGATGCATTCGGTGTTGGTGAAGCTTTGAATGAGACTGCTTTCGACAAGGGACATTAACCAGAAAATCATTTTGAAAGGGTTATCGAAAAAACGGATTTTTAACAGAATATTCAAATATTCACAGAAGTTGATGAACATATATGATGGAATTGGCCGATACTTAATGAAAATCCATAACGTATCCAAAAAACAACATGTGTTTTGCCATACAATGGCTTCTTTGGGCGTGGCTTTACTAGCTAATATCTACATATTCAATGGCGATCCAGATTTGTTCAGAGAAATCATAACTAGTGACGAATCATGGATATGTGGTTATTACCTTGAAACCAATGTCCACTTGTCCCAATGGAAGAGCCCGGGAGAGCCACTTTCAAAAATAAACACCGCAATTTCGATCAGGTGTCAAGGTTTTCCATATTGGAAACTCGGGTAAAGTAGATACACAAGGTAAAGCGAATATTGCCTATTAATTCCCAAATGGTTCGTTGGCCGGCCGCCGTGTTGTTATAGCTAGTTGCTGACCCGTGCGCGGTAAACACGTCGGGACGAGTTCGCATCATGCTAGGCCAGTTACCGGATAGACTGTGTTTTTGGAAAAATAATAATAATTCACAGAGGTAAGTGTTTCGTTCATAACTATAATATTATTTGTGACATGTTCTTTCTTATGAGCAGGATTTGATGCATGATTATGTAGCTTTCAATTATCCATAGACAACGAGTTTAGATGCTCTAGTTTTTTAGTAATTTGGGATAACGTCAAAAATACACTCGAAGGGCAAAGAGAATTGGGCAAAGTGGATACCGTATTCACTCTGCCCGGTCATGACAAGTTATACAGTTTTATGGAATTTGTACTTTATAACGTTTTTTCCATTGCAGATGGTGTATAAATATAAAAAAGACAATACAAGGATCCTGGAGTGAAAAAAACATGCAGGCCGCTATAAATTTGTGATCGGCGGGAGAGACGATTAAAGGGACGGCATAAAAATACGGGCTAGCTTATGCTACATTATATCGACATGTCAAAAGTGGAATTACTTCCCTACAGTTAGGTCGATTCCGTCCTATATACACAACTGTCATTGTTTGTTGTAATGCAGCTGGTAGCTTAAATTTCTTTCACATTTTTTAAGTTCTGCTAGAAAGAAGCTAGAAAGAAGATGCAGCCAAGACTTTCTGATGGATGTCCTCCAGGGGCTCAAGGAACCTGTACTCCCAGTGGTTAGACACCAGGCGAAGTCTTCTTGAATTGGATGCATTTTTTCGTAGAGCAAGTGAGGCCAACAGCAGACAAAAAGTTCCTGTTAACACTAGACAACCACGAAAGTCACAAATATCATCCTGCACTTGAGTACGCAACCAAGAAAACTGTGGTGATATTATCCTTAGCAACCCATACTACCCACAAAATGCAACCGATGGATGTTGCTGTATATGGCCCACTGAAAATGTATTTTGAAAGGGAGATTATCATGTTTCAAAAATCTCACCCCGGCCGCATCATTAACCACTAAGATGTAGCTATAGATTGCTAACAGCAGCTTTTCTCAAAACTTCGGTGGCCATCAACGCAGTGCATAGATTCGAACGTCCCGGAGTTTGGCCTCTAAACGAGCATGCTTTTGCTGATCATCATTTTGCACCAGCCGATATACTTGGAGGCACATTCAATTTGAATACTCAGTCAGAAACTTTACCCCCATCGGAAAGAAGTAATTTGCTCAAGTCCATCATTCAAGTGTCATCTTCGAATAAATCTCACGAATCTCAGAAAAATGTTTTTTCAATATGTTAACATTGTAGAAAAAAAACGTTTTTT